AATAATAATAAAGTCAAAATACATTTGAAATAAATTTTTTTGATAATGTTTTTCCCATTCTTTTTTTTTTTTTTGTGAGTCAGTAAAGCTTTATTGGTACAAACAGACAGCAGGCCCAGATTAGACCTGTGAGCTACAGTTAGCCCATGGCCCAGTTTGCCAACCCCAGTCTTTATGAGAGGGTTGACCTAGTGAGTCTGGGGTCCCTGTGGGACATCCAGGAGCAGGTATGTTCAGGAACAGCTGGATTTTTAAATGAGAGAAGGCTGAAATCAGGGTCCCAGCGCAGAAGAAGCCCTAGGGTCTTGGACACACTAAGCAGACGAAGTAGAACCCATACTAACTATCGATTTTTTTGTGTCCCCTTCTTTATATATACTTGATATCTTTACTAAGTTTGGTATTTTCTAAGAGTCCACTTGCAGTCAGCTCTTTGAACACTCTGCTACTCATTGCATACTTTAAAAATAATCAATATAAATGTGCAGATCTTCACTTAAACTATTAGCTAGTTGCTTTAGACTTGAGCAGCATTTTCCAAAAATGCTATTCACTAATAATGTATGGAACACCTGGTAATTAGCATTTGTTGATTCCCCTTTACCTTGCAATTACCAGAAAATAAGTTCCCTTTTTAGTAGGAGCCCTCATTATCAGAAGTAAAACCCATTTTCCAGTGTGAATATAATGAATGCAACACGTTCACTTGAAAACAAGCTCTTATATTTACTTTATCATGCATGCACATTAGTGTTGGTGTCACAGTACCTTCTAGTTGATCTTAATTCACTTAATTCAGTTTTTATATACAGTAAATTATTTCACCTTAATCATATATTTTAATACTATAAATTTTGTGCAAATCCATCCCAATAATAGGATAGAGAGAATGTATATCAATGCAATGATTTCTTCAAGTTATCACTGTTGTCTGTTTAATATCAGGGTACTTTTATAACTTTATTTATTTTAGAAAAGTATTTCTAACCATATAGAATTGAGGCCAAGTGCACTCTGAGGACAGCTGGATATGCAAGATAGATTTCATGATCTTTTTAAAGGGCTCTCTATGCATACTTTTGGAAATTTGAGTTTCTTGGAGAGATTAATATTCTGTCATATTGTTTAGCAAAGCATAGCAGTACTTGACCATCCATCCATCCATCATACCTTCATTAGAATTATTCTGGACATTAAAAACATTAATTTCATTTATACTATAAAATCATAATCATCCTTGAACTTGTAAAAAATATTTGCATTTCTTATATATATGTATATATATGCCTTAATAAATAAAAAAATAATTGTCTGAATGCATTAATTAAATATTTCTTTACAAAATTTTTAAAACAAGGTTTACTTTCTTATTGCAGGTGGCCTGCATGCAGTTTATAAATGCCCTTGTCACTTCCCCTTATGATCTGGATTTTCGAATACATTTAAGGAATGAATTCCTCCGTTCAGGACTAAAAACAATGTTACCAGTAAGTTGAGCGTACACATTTATTATGCTGGTGAACTTTAACATTTTTCTTTCTTTAGACAAAAGTACTTGCAACAGAGTAAATAAATGTACCTTGCTATTTTCTTTTGTAAAGCATTAGACATTTTCGTAAGCTTTTTTATATTGCAGTAATATCAGTCTTTATATACAACTGATGATTCAGAATTCAGCTGCTGAGGTGTCCAGAAGTGTTTTTTTTTTTTTGTCTTCCCGAAGTTGAAAGGGAATTTCTTTTCTTTGAATTTGAATACTGAGAACATAAAAGACTAATTTTTTTTTGCAGTTTCAATTTTCATTTAAATTTTTTTGCTTTCTTCTTTGATAACTTATATTGATTTCATTTATATTCAGCGTAAGTATGCATAGAATTTTGATTAGTATGTTCTAGGCACATTACTTAAGAATGATATTCTTGTTACAATGCTGTAGTAACTTTTCTAAAGAAAAACAATTTTATTTCTTGAATGTGAACACTTACTCTAATTATGATATCGTTAAAAAAACAGTTTTGAAATAACTTTATAGGCTTGATCTGAGTCAAATGAGTACATAAATGTATTTTTAAATACAAATATAATGACTGCAACTTTATATTTTATTTAGTATGTTAACTGAAGAGGGAATTTGTTGAAGACCATAGCGTTGTTAAAAAAGACAAGTAAAATCTCACTAGTCTCTTTATTTTCATTTAAGCTACTCAGATCACACCTGAGAAACAAGAAGTAAAAGTAAGGGAGGGAAAAAAAGGACTGAGGAAAGAAAAACAAAACAAATGTCAATGAGCATGTATATAAGACTTAGGGTCCTAGGAATACTCAAATTAGGGAAGTTTTCTAGTTACTAACTAATGTGGAGTATGTGCCTGTTACTTGTGTTCTGATGGTCTTAACTGAAAGTAGCTGAAACTCATCACCAAAAGACGTGTGATTGGTCTATTGAAACCCATTTTAATCAGATGTATGATTGAGTCTGTTTTAGAAATTTATATGTCAGTTCTACATTGGTTCTTTAATCTATGACTTTCAAAACTAAGGAATTGGTCGCAGTGAATCAAAGCGACATTTTAAGTGACCTGTAGAGAGGTTCAGTATGCAGTTAGGCACATTCACAAGTTATAGTGTGTGTAACACATTTATTCTTGTTTTGCCACAAATATTTCCTCATGAAAACTCTGTGGCCTTAGGTAGCTAGAGATAATATAGTTCTGATTCTAGTTTGCTTTTGAGTTATCTACTCATTCCATGCTTGGCCTCACTGGGGTTAGTCCTTTGTTTCTGGGAGAGTAATTTTGTCTTTGAGCACTTGCTGGCTATAGGGGCTCCTTAGCATCTTCTACACATTTACTAATACACCATGTTTTCTGCCTTAGGTGTTGCTATTACTCTTCCGTCTTTCATTTCCCTGTGTCTATTTATAATTGAACATTCATATTCTGCCTTATACTTACTGAATGGCTGGTCAAGAAAACTGTGACTCTCATTTTATTTAACTCCTCATCTTTTCAGAAAGAGTATGTACTGTAGTTCTTATCCTTACCTTTTGCACTTTTGTCTGGGTGTATTCTGCTATGTTCAGTAGTCTCATGATAGCTCATTCATTTGGTTATAGTGACAGCTAAGATTTTGCATCAGTGTCTCTAAGCTACACTTTTCCATTGGCTCTATTTGTATTCTTAATATGTATTTCCGGTTACATTTTTCTTTAAGTATCACATCTCTTCACTATGCCCTACTTCTCAGATCTCAGTGATTCTGAAGCAAGAGGAAAGTACAAAGTGTCAAGTTTCTGCCTCCAAAAGTTTTGAGATATAACCTACAAAGATTTTTGTTTTTTTCTTATCTCCCTAAGACAATAGAGTGAAATATGGCAAAATATGGCTCTGGTTCTCAACCAAGACATTGGTCCTGTCCCCTTAGAGACTGTCAAACTCTTATTGAGGGTAAGGAAGAGACATTTGGTTAAAAAAAAAAATCCATCCCAGAGATTTCTGATGTACAAGACGAGAATTCAGGCAGATAGATCCTGAGAGTAGAGATTCATTCTTTAATACATAGATTTCACTGCTGCTGTTGTTTTTCTTATAGTTTTATCATCACAATATGGAGCAAAGGCCGGAACGATCATGCTTTAATGTAAACTAGATGTACCTAACATGTCAACTACCTTATTAATTCGATATTAATTTGCTAAATATTTAAATCTAAACTACTAGAATTTATAGTAATATTAAACATCTTTTATATATGCACTGAAACTTAATAATATATTCATAGATGAGTCTTTAAAATCCTTTTTTTTCTTATTCTTGTTTTATATACTTTTCTAATGAGAGGAGCTCCCTAATTTTCTAGAATATAGTGTATTCCAAGCAGCAAATTAGACATGGCCATTGCTAATATTAGTAGTTGGTATATGGATCAAAAATTATTACTATTTGGAACCATTAAGTAATAGGTAAGAATAGTTCTTAGTATTTCAGTAACCCCTGGACTATCATAATATTATAGTAAAGTTTTCTTTTTTAATTTAATTGTCAGAATCCTCAAGACAATTGACAATTATTTTAATTATATTCTAAGAATTTAATTTGGTAAGAATTTTTTTTTCAAAACTACTCTTATCTCTATAGATAAATTATAGTATTTAAAGCAAGTTTATACTTCATTTATGTGGAAAATTTTACTTTTTATAAATTTGTTTTAGTAATTTGGGATAAAAGAGTCATTACATACTATACAGTGATTTTTAAAATAGTATTTGCTCTGTAGTTAACTTACACTGATTTCTTGTGAAATCTCCATCTGCCTTTTATTTAGTTAAGTAAAATAAGAAAATATTAGGTAAATATGTGAGAAAACAAAAGTAAGAAATTGTGTCTATAGCCAGCAGGCATTCTTAATCTCTTTTAAAAGACCGACAAACCCTTTGTTATTCTTTTAAAGACTCAAATTTGATTAAGTGGTAATCAGTCACGTATTGGTAATGGAGTTTGATTTCCTTAGAAGTACACTATATTATAGTATGTTTCAGAGAATCTCTAAAATGTTCCATATCAGTACAGAAGTCTGTTTAAAAAATAACTGAAACATATTTATAACATTTCACATAATTAATAATAGTGTAATTCAGAAATTTTATAATATTCTACATTGTAAAATATAAAACATTAGTGATGCGTTTTAATTTTCCTTTGTAGGATATTTGTCACATTTGTTGTGTATAAAAACTTTAACCTTTTGAATGTTTAAGAATTTATGGATGCATGTTTCAATGTTGGACGTTTGACTGAATGGAAGTTATATATATGTGTGTGTGTGTGTGTGTATATATGCATATATATTAATTTTAGTGGCACACTATTCATAAACATATTTACAAGATGTTGAATTTATACGTGTCTAAATTTTTATATATTGTGCTGTATATGTTCACATACTATATATATTATATAAGTAATGTGTTTTCCTAATTAAAAACTAAAACATTTAACCAGTTATTTTTACTGAAAATATTTTCATCATGCATATTGCTTTCATGTTTTATAAAGTTCTGATATTAATTAAATGACAGTATTTAACTTGGATTTTTCTATTTTCCAAACTTATTTGAATGTGTTCAAGTGAGCATCTAAAAAAAAATAGAATGCGACATAAGAATGAGTAAAGATTCATATTCTAAAATGTGTTAAAGGTCGTTTCTGCAATGACCAGCATATTGGATGTGCCTGGCTTCTGCTCTTTTCTTAATGGACTTCAGAAATCCCTTGTTAATATGACCCACCAATGTTAGATAATTTTTCATTTTGCAAATTTCTTCATTCTCTTTCAAAGTGGGAAATTAGACCTAAAGCACATTATTACTAAAGAGGAAACTAAGTATAATTGCTTTTATTGGCTACATATTCTATATCAAATTATATAGAAACATATTAATAAGTGTTTTCATCTGCTCTGTTGATAAATTTTCAGTTAATTATTATGTATGGGAATGTTAGAAAAAGAACATCTAGAAATTGCATACATTTGTGTTTGGCTTTGGTAGTAGCCATTACATCTCCATTTATAATTGTTCTATAGAATAAAAATAGAAACAAGAAATGCATCCTATTTTGTTTTATTGACCTAATTTGAAGTACACCATGCTTGCATTTCTTTTTAGAGTTCAAGCTCAGCTCTGAACATCCTAGTCTCACTTTCGGTATCACCCTTGAGCATCCACAGTTGTGATTATCGATTTGGGTTTTGAAAGCTGCAAGTTAATGGACACATATTAAAAGATATTCCAGGTGATATATATTAAGCCCAACAATCTCTAGTGTGGCATGCTTCCAAAGATTTTGTTGACTATTATTTTGAAAATTATCAGAGGTTTGTAATGCATGTGCTTATAATGTATTACAAAAACAAATCTTTGATGCCCAAGTTGGTATTTTGTGATTAGGCTAAGCAAATATGAAAGGTTGGGGAGGAGGCTAGACCTGCAGCCCAATGAAAAGTCCTGATGCCTTTTTGCTTCAAATCACAAAATATCATTTAAAATAAATTTGTTTATACAAATTTTTAAGCCATACTTGGGACTGTTGTGCTTGTGTATATCCTTGCATTTGTTCTTCATTAATACAATTGATCTATATTTGCATTTTTTGCCAGAGGCATATGTGAATGTTCTAACTGCATGAGTTCATTTGCGATCTTTGATTAGTATGTTTAGTCAAAACGACAGCATTTAATTTGGGTTGTTAGCAATTAGGTTTTTTTTTCCCATTGTAAAAGTGATTGTTAATATTTTAATGTGAATAATCAAAATCTGGGGCATGAAATGAAAATGCAGTGAATGCAATGAGGTTCTATTTTAATGTAGAAAAACATAGTATATTTACTTTCAGGAAACCAAGTGCCTAGGTTCATATTTGAAATTGCTTCTGTATATATAAATTAATAATAGTGTCTGGCCTTTATTACCAAAATATGGTGTCGTCAAACTGTTATTCATCTGTTAAGTTTTATGTTTATATATTAGGATCTAAAACAAAAAGAGAATGATGAGCTTGATATTCAGTTGAAAGTATTCGATGAGAACAAAGAGGACGACCTAACTGAATTATCACATCGTCTCAATGACATTCGAGCAGAAATGGAATATCCTTTTGACAAACAGGAAAAATCATTTTGCATGTATTGTGAAAAAGGGATTTGTGGGTGATTTTGTGGACCATTATTAGAATTCTTGTCTGCCAGCCCAATTTATATCCATTTATTTATATTAGAACCTTGCTATAGTGCTGTTCTTGAGACTCATGTTGAGGAACTGTCAGACTGTCCTGATGATTTACACAGACTCTATTGAAATCTGCACAAAGACTTGCTGTGTTATAGGTATATTCTGCTCAGTGGCTTGAATAGAAATAGCCTAAAGGAATATACTGCACATGTTATGGATTTGGAGGGAAAATTCATGGAGTTCATATGTGACTATAGGTAATATACTTTTTCAGTTTATTAAATGGTACTGAGCGGTTTAGAGATATAATTCAATTCAAATAAATGTCTTATTCTCACTCCAAGTATTTTGTTTCCTTAGCAAAAAAATAAATGTTTAGATGTGATGGTATTGACTATAATAATGCCGTGTGATAGCAGCATTTGAGTCAAATACAACTAGCATATAGTTTTCCTATGGCAACGATTTTATATGAAATGATTTTAGATCTCAGAGATGGTTGTCATTGCATTGCTGTCCACTTGCTTCACACCCCTTAAACTTCTTACTTAGGATTCTGGGGGAATTGGAAAATACTTCGGAACCAAAATGACCTTTGAGCTGGACTTTTTCTCTATGATGTTTTCTTTCCTCTTTCTACATCCCCCCTCAAAAAAGCTGGAAGTAATATTCCCCCCCTAAAACTCCTAGAATATTTTGTTTGTATCTGTCTTATTTATGTACACTTTTATGCCCCTATGAGATTGAGGGTAGAAATATTCTATATTATCTTTTTCTTCCAATGATCCTATTGAAATATCTTATACACAAATACTGGATAAATAATTGTGCAATTAATAACAATTTCATTATTATAGGGGATAATTTCCCATAATTTCTTATCCATCATTAGTGACTCTAGTCTACAGTGGTTTCCATAATATTAAATGCTTTGTATGTCAATTAATAAATATCTTGCTTTCTTGCTTTATATAGATTTTTCTTATAGTCGAACTTCACATAATTTTTGGATCCATCCTGTAGCCATTTAAAGGGCCTTATGAGACTTTAATACAGCACTCTGACATGGGGTCTAAGAAGTAATCCATCATATACTTAATTCTACTTCAGAGAAAATTTGACATTTCAGGTTATTTTTAGGATGTTGGATTATATCTCCTCTTCTACCTTTCTTTTACATCGATTTTTCCAGATCGATTTTCAAAAACTGTTTTCTAGTTTACTAAAAGCATTTACACTTCTATCATTCTTTTTATAACCTAAGGAAAATGTTTCAGGTTTCATTGTCTTTATCCTCCATCTTTTATCAAATAATGAGACATGAATGAATGCAAACAATAATAATTTCATACTTAATTATTTCATCTGTATAAAATAAAACCGGTTTTGTGATTTTTTATCAGTCCACAGAATGCTCATTGACATTCTATCTTATGGGGCAGTGAAAATAGAGTATGGAGTGGCTTTCATGAATAATATAGGTCTTCCCTCTATCACAACCATAGGAAGATCAAGAGAAAACCATTTTCATTAATGACATTGCTGTTCCAATGGTACCAGCTATAATTTGGAATTTAAAATATAATGAGTAACTGATCATTTAAAGTTTTGATGATTAAATGGTCTTGCAAATACTCTTTAAATCTATTTCTTTTGTTAAAAGATTAAAATTATTTCAGAGATTAAATTTCTTTATGTAAACTTTTAAATACTGGGTCATGGAGTTGAAGGCTTAGAAACAGTAAGAGAAACAAAGCGATACAACAGTGAATGCAACTTTCATCAAGAATCTTTGATATTTTTCCTTTACTGACTTTTCACTGATATGAATGAAGTATACCATCTTCTGTATAATATGTTGAAGGACACGGCTGCTGAACATTACCTATTATCCATTCTACAACATTTTTTGCTCATCAGAAATGATTATTATATCAGGTAAGAAGCAGTTCTGAGAGTACTATTTGTATAATTTGAATTAGATATTGAAGGAAAATTAACGATGTAGTGGGGCCTATGCAGTATATGCACATATAAATGCATAGAATATAAGAGCTTGACAGCTTAAGGTAACATTTTTTAAATGGAGTTAATTTATTTTTAATTGGGCCATAATAATCTATTTATAAAAATGGGGTACCCCAGCAAAAAGACTTTAATAGCAATGAACCAAACAGATTTTACTGACTCCATGATGAATTTTCTTTGCTAGATTATGGTAGCACCAAGTCAGTGCTGAAGTCTGTGGTAAAACTTTTAAGTTCTTCTGCATTTAAATAAGTAAGGTTTCACTGTTATTTCTGTTTTATCTTATTTATCTAGTTACAGATGCAATCTTATCTAAGAAAATAATAATGCTAATATTTCAGCCTTATGTTGAGTAATGTAATTCTTCAAAATAAGTGATTATGATAATAATTCATAAAATTAGATGTTTTAGAGTCTAATAACTGGAAATATATCTGAAAACCAGAAAGTTAGAGAAAGATTTCTAAGTGGCTGAAATTATCTATAAGCTGGTGACCACAATCTTATATATTAACTGTTCAAGAGACTCTTAGTTCTTTACACTCTAATATGTGTGACATTCTAGCAACCTAGGTTTTCTGATTTGTCAAAGCCTGTTTGATTAAAGGGAAAAGGAAGGCTTCCATGGGGTCAAGTACTGTTCTAACAAAAATGACAGTTCTTAAAGCCACATTGAAAACTATTAAGTTCTGAGCAATACAATAATTGGACATTGTGATGTTACAGAGACATAGGAAAAAATGTTTGAAATATCGAATTCTATGCTGCTTTTTTTTTTTTTAAACAGGAAAGATGATAATGCATTTGAAAGTATTGTTGTTTTCTAAAATAAGTCTGGCAATTAAAGGGGTGCTGTGGCCATGTGTACGCAGTTACTTAGGGAAATAATTTGTGTGAAACCATGCATTTCTCAGTAACTTTGAATAAATGAGAATTTACTCTAATGTGACATCCTTTTCATCTTGAGAACATTCATGTGAGCTAAAAGTGTGACAAGTATTTGCATTCTACTTAGGGATAATTAACCTTTCTTTAAGGAGAACAGTTGTGTTTTCCTTGTTTACCCAAAGAGTCATTGACTAGACTGGTTATAATCTAGTATTATTTACTCTAGACCTGATGATGACTTGAATGAGCCTCATATGTGTAATATATATTACTACTTATTCTTGATACCAGCCCCATGACAGAAGACATACATATAAGAACAATTAGAAACTATTTGGTTTGATTTACAAACTTTTAGTAGGTTGGCTGGTTATTAGGACTCTAATTTTGAGGATGTTTATGTCATAATTTGTCTATAGTAGTATTTCTTTCTGATTTTTCTCTGTTGAATTTATTAGTTACTGATAAATACTAAATTTCCCCAAATATCAATGTAAAAAGTGCCTTTAAAATTTTTTTTGAAGTGTGCAACTCATTTTTAAGTCCAGAATTGCCTTGATAGATTATAGAATTAGGATATGTTTTAAAACCTTTGACACTTTAAACAAATTGAGGCTATAGTCATGCATATTAAGTATGTATGCTTCTATAAAATGGATCTTTTAAAATACATACATAAATATATGCACGCATCTTTGGAATAGTCTGTAGCATAAGTGGCTCAGTCCAGTTTTGTAAGCTGTTATAGCTAATCTTGAATTCACGTATTGGAGTAAATTCGTCATTGCTTGCCATCAAATGCCAAGATATTCATCCCTTATTGAAATTGAGAACCTATAGAGGCTAGAAACGTTTCTGTGTCCATTGTAGGACTAACAGGTCATTTGTTTTCATCACCTTTAGGAACAACAGCTTAAGTAAGTTAAGGTTGATAAGTATTTTTGTACCCAAGAATGAATCTCTGCATACTAGAGTATTAAGTCTCTAAGTGTCCACAGTTGATTACATCACAATGGGTTTTGTGCTATAACTTCCAGACCATCTTTAAACATAGGCATATTTCTCCTTAAAGGAATGTAATGACTAGAAAGATTTTTTTTAAACAGTGTTAGAAAAAGACTTAGTTCTTTTATCATGCTGAATCACCTCTTAAGTATATTGATTCGTATAGGTAGAAAAGGTATTCAAGAATACTTTCTCTTTTTCAGGCCACAGTATTACAAAATAATTGAGGAGTGTGTCTCACAGATAGTGCTGCACTGCAGTGGTATGGACCCAGATTTCAAGTATAGGCAAAGATTAGACATTGATTTAACTCATCTGATAGGTATGTAATATAATACTCAATGTCCTTTGTGTTTTATTCTTTTCTCTATAATAGGCACTTTTTAAAGATAACTCTCTCACTGAACTTCCTCTATTAGTATCTGATGAATCATTCAGTTTTTGGATATTCAGTCACTATAATTGTTAATTATGATCATCATGAGAGTTCTGCTTGTGTGATTGAAAATATTAATGTATTTGATAAGTTTCAACACACAAAAAAACATTTTATTATCATATATGAATGCCTTGCTTTTTAGAAACATGAGTCTGAAATCCATTGATTTAGTTTATACTGGTACCTTAGTGGCTTTGTAGAAATAATGTATACAATAGTGTCTAATTAGTAATATTGCTATATTATTAGTGTTCGAGTTTGAGAAAATAAATATAGGCTTATTTCAGTAACTTAAGACCTTTTAATTCTATCAAAGCAGATCAATTTATATTTCATAGACCTTAGAGCTAGGAAAGAATTTGAGATCATTATGTTCATCTACTTGTATTGCTGAGGTGATGACCTTATATCATCCTATACTGGTAGTTGTACCTTCTGGAACAATCTCTGGATGATGTGAAACATCGCTTGTGAAATATGCTATGCTATCTGACCTTATAGTTAAGCAGTTTTATTTATACCTAATTGAAATCACTATTGCTAAGATTCCAGTATGAACTCATTTGTCTTGTCTTTAAAGGAAGAAAACAACAGCTGTTAAATGCCAATTATATATTATTCTTCACTTCATAATACAGAACAGATTCACAGTAATATTCAGAGATGAATTCCTTATTATTATTTATCATGTATTTTTTTCTGATTTTAAAACTCCTGCACTTATTCTAGGCAATCTAGAGACTTACGTAAGTGACAGAATAAACCACCAATCTTACTTTTCAGCTCAGTACATTTCTCTCTGTCTCTCTCTCTCTCTCCCTTCCTCTTCTTCCCTCCTTTCTCTCTCTCTCTCTCTCTCTTTTCTCTCCCTTCTCCCCCCTCTATCTGTCTATATGTTGATTTTTCATGGAGCATTTATATTGTGCAAATTTATCTATGTTAACCTTTAAAATATGACTTTAAATGTCTATAATATTTCATTTTATGGAATACCATGATCATTTTGACTAGTCCTTTCTTATTGTACATCTAGATTGTTTTTGGGCTCTTACTTTTGTAAATTAATCTCATGTGAACGTTCTTTGTATAAATGTTTACCTTTCTCTCATTTCCTTAGGATTGATTTCTCTAAGTGAGAGTATGAACTGTGAAAGGCCAAATGCTTTTTAGGAAGTATGCACCAGTTCACCTTACCTAGCAATTATTGTGAATGGTGGTTTCACTGGATATTTTTCATTGAGCTTAATAAACTCAGTAATTCATTTCATATTTTGTTGAGAGAGCTGTAAGAGACTATTTCCAAATATTTGTATTGGCTTGTAATACCCTACTGTTGATTTGGCCAGATCATTCAGTGTTCACAGACAATTTTTTTTTGTACTTTGTGCCAGGTACTTACAATTGTGTACTGTTCATCAAGAGCATTGGAGTGAGGAGAGAGGAAGGGATCAAGTGAGAGAGGATAGTTAGAATCTTAGACCCATGTGTCATCTCTGTGATTGTGAACAAATCACTTAATTTCTCTAGGCTTCAGTTTCCTTAATCTCTAAATTCAGATCAATCAAATATATGTGTGGTTCTTAATATTTTATGGTCAGAGAACTTTTTCAGTAGCTGATGAATGCTGTGGAACTTTCATTAGAACACATATACACATACACACATGTAATCACAAAGATTAGCAGGTGCTTCAAGAACTTCTAGGAGATCTCCTGGACTTGTCTCTTCTGATTTCACAATTCTGTAAGTCTCATATTTTTTATAAATCAGATCACATTCCTCCCTAATTTCTGATATCTTCAGATTGAAATTTTAATCGATCATTATCAACCACTGCAAGCACAGCACAGATCTGGCCCATTTTTAATCTCATCATTTACCAATTTGCTCTTTAGTTGCCTTGCTCCAGCCACACAGTTCTTAAAAAAAAAAAAGTATACTAGACATGAAGAAAACTACCCACCTTTAAAATATACAGTTTGATAAATCTTTATATTTATGTACATTTAACACCATCATCACAGTCAAGATAATTGACATCTCTATCACCCAGAAACTTTCTGCATTCTCTTTTGTAGTCTTTCCTTATCTTGAGATGATCAATGATTTGCTTTCTCTTGCTATAGTTTAGTTTTATTTACTAAAATTTTCTATAACTAGAAATATACAACATATGCTCTCTTTTTGCCTGGCTTCTTTCATTCAACATAATTATTTTGAGATTCATTTTTGTTGTATTACATGTATCAATAGTTCATTCCTTTTTAAAACTGAGTACTATTCCAGTATATAGATATACTGCAATCTCTTTATACATTTACTTGTTGATAGACATTTGAGTTCTTCCTAAGTTTTTGGCTATTGTAAATAAAGCTGCTATAACATTCATATACAAGTCTGGGCATAGACATATGTTTTTATTTCAGATAAATAAGTATGGAATAGCTAGGTACAAAAGAGATGGTATTTATGTATAATAATGAAAATATTGTCCAAAAGAGAGTTTTCAGTTATTTATATTCTGGAGTGTTTGCTGTTTCTTATTTATATAATATATTCTGCTTCCAATCAGAAGTTATTTAAGTGACATCTTTCTTTAGGAAACCTAAATTAGTGAATGTTATTGTATCTCTCTCTCTAGTTGCATTCTGGGTCTCAATAATCTTAAGCATAGATTCTTTGGAATCTTACCACACATAATAAACTATAAAACAAGTTTTAAAGAATTCTATAATTGTAAAAGTTGAATACCTTTAAAATGTTGATGATTTAGTCAAATATATGCTTAGATGCTTGGTTTTTTGCCTCAACAATACTATCATTGAATTCAGTTAGTATGTGAAAGAAAGAAAATGTGGTGGTTTATGTTCTATGTGTAGTATAGGTCAATTTCCCTGTAATAGCAATTGACATAAAAATGATTGTCTACGTGGTCGAATTATAGGCTGGCAGCCATCTTTTGCCTAGAGGTCTGATGCAATAATTTCTAATTATTTTTGTCAATCGTAATAGATTCTTGTGTGAACAAGGCAAAAGTTGAAGAAAGTGAACAAAAAGCAGTGGAATTTTCAAAGAAGGTAAAGTTATAAAATATTAGCTGTTATTGTTAAAGTAGTAATTTAATCACATTTTATTCTCCCTTGTTTCTTTATGTGAGGCCTTATAAATGTTGTTTTCAGTTACGTAGTATTCTGTGTTTCCAGATTCAGACATAACCACGGCATACTGATTTCTTCCTTGAGACGATAAAGTTGCTACTATTCCTTCCTTATCACCTTTAATCCATTAGGGAAGAAAAACACTAGCCATATTCGATTAAAGTGATTAATGAAATAAAATTACATTTATGGAATAATATAGTTAGAATCAGTCAACCAAAATATTTTCCTCCATTGCTTTCCTGCAACTCACACTTACAATAGGTAGCTCCTTGAAGAATTGTGAGATGTATAGCTAGTCTTATCTGTTATATTCTAAAGTCAGTGCTCTTGATAGCAACAGAATGACACAATGTTTTCTGTGTGTGTGTGTGTGTGTGTGTGTGTGTGTGTGTGTGTGTGTGTATCTGCTTAGACCTGCCTTCTTTGAATTTTATAGTTTTCATTTTTTAAATGATGCTGCTGCCTCATGTAGGTTTGCTGGAATTTGAGGTTTCTCTTTGTGTGTTAATACCTTATTAAATGCCAGCTTTATGATTATCTTAATTTTAATTAGCTCTCAGATTGTCTTTTCCTTGTTTCATGTAAGCATAGCTACAATTTTATTAGCTTCTACCAAATGTTGCCCTTTTTTTTGGTTCTAGACCCTGTGAAGCTTTAGTATAGCCTTTCTCTTCCTGTTTGAGGCAGGGAGAAGGATTGAAGCAAAAGTCTAAAAGCTCTCCAGTTTTCAGCCTCTGACAGCAAGATAAAGTGCTTACATATTGCTGTCTCTTCAAAGTTATGACTTACCTTGGAGATTAGATAATCACTTTTGCTATCATATTATAGAGTATTACTGAAGTTACTTCAGGGCTTTGAAAGAAATGTCTTTGCTCTTTCGGTTACTAGAATAGATTTTTAAGAGCTTGAGCATAAAATGTTTGTGTGAAGCTGTCATTTTTATTGGTGAAAGAAAATGTATGCTTTCTGATTAATATACCTTTATAGTTCTAATGTTTTTGTTTTAAGTAGCACATTTAAAATTCCCTTCGAAAATCTCAGAATCTCCTTAATTTTTTTGTTGGCTCTGTGATTAGACACCACAAGACTGGAGCAAATTGTGATGATCTACCTGGTAAAATTTTCTGTAAGCATATGTTATGGGAAAAGGAGTCCTGAAATAATAAAAAGAAATCTCAGTGTTTGATGCTTTATTCTCATCGCCAACATTTAGAATGAAAACATATAAGGTCTCCCATTGGTTATCTGTATGCTTTCTCTTAATCTTGGTGATTTTATGAGACAATATAAAGTAGCGAAAAAAAAGGTGGTGGAGCTAGAATGAGAAGCAGTAGTTGTAAGATCTGATCTCTGCTTTTCCACTAATTAGCTGTAACTCTAAGTAAGCCGCTTATTCTGTTTAGATCTCAGTTTCTTTGTCATTAAAAGAAGTGGAGAAGTTTAGTGGATTTTTAAGTTTTCCAGCTCGCATATCTCAGGCTTCATTGATTTTTTTCTGTGGTTTTACAAATTAAGATCATTTTAAATTACAAGCAGAAACATTGTGTGCCTTTCTTCAAATGTACTAATTAACAAACCACTTGGAGAGGAAAACTGTACAGTGTATAGACACTATGCTTGAGAAGCACACAGGAGAAGCTAACTTTGAGAGGGCAGATGGTTGTATAGAATCAGATAAATCTTAACATGAATAGTAGTGAAGTTGAAAAAGCTCCATCTTCTCAGTGAACTAGGAAACAGGGTCATTGCTAACCGAAGGATCTGAGGTGGGTTTGAAATTTAGAGAGATTAGACATGATTTAGGCCAACCTCTGTGGGACATTTTCCTGGGACTCAAGTAGAGATGAATAAAAGAATTAACTAAGTAGTATTTCAGGTTTGCCCCAAACACTGTTATTATCCAATTTGTTCACTCACTCTTTCTTCAGGCTTGGATCTGAATGGCATTTTATAATTTCCAAAGGTCAAATCTACTGAGAGGATTAATATATATTAGTAGTGCACATACTTTTTTTGTGGTTGTTTCACAAACTCTAAAGGCAATTCTAGGCAGTTAGATATATCAGTCTTAAAAACAGATAAAACATCATTGGAATAATGTATAGACTTCTAAAATGACTAGAAGTGATATCGACAATAAAAGGCAAATGTTCTGTAGCTGGGCATAAGCCGCATTCACTGTAGGTATGCAGGCTTATTTGGGCCTGCTTACAGCCCTGACTGAGGTTAGGGCTGGGCAGGATGCAGTAAATGGATATTCTCCATTCAGATGGTCTCCTTGGCTTAGCACACTGTAATTTAACCTCTCATTTTTCCTCTTGGAACATTTTATACCAGTGTTTTGGTTAGCCATTTGAAGGAGAATGCCGTTATAGCATATATCATGCTACTGTCAGATTTTATGGAGTACTACTTTTTAGATGCTAGACAATTAAGATTATAATAGAAATATTATAATTCATATTAATGTGCTTCCATTTGAGTGCTCTAAAAGTGTAATCTCTTTTCAAGATTAAATATAGTTAAGGAGTTGAACTGCTTGATGGCTAATTTTTAGGTTTCATTTTCTAATTGAATAAATTTGAAAGTATGGAATGAAACATCAAAAAATGAATTATTCGAAAACCTAACTTTCAAAATAACAAAAAGATCTATTACATATGAAAAGAGACTTCTCAGTTCATCCTTTTAAAACTTGGTTTTGTATTTTTTTCAGAAGTCAAAATGGGTTTGTTTACCTTGGGTTGGGGGCATATTTCTAATTTACTCCCACCAGCAAGCAACACACCATTTCCCATAAGGGTGCTTAATTGTCATGAAAAAAAAAATCAGGAGCTCTGATTTTTTTTTGAGGGACCTGGGAATTCAGTGAAGCAAGAGACACTTCACTTATTTAACACATAATGTTTAAAGCTTTCTCAAAACTGTATATTTTTAAGTGTACATTTATGGTGGTGATCATTGCAGTTTGATGAAGAATTCACAGCTCGACAGGAAGCTCAAGCAGAGCTTCAGAAAAAAGAAGAAAAAATCAAAGAGCTTGAAACAGAAATCCAGCAACTTCGAACCCAGGTAATGAAACATGATATAGACTTTGTGTCATGTCATAGTGAGTTCAGTGTTAGAAAATTATCTTGTTAGATTCAAGGAAAAAAGTGACTAGAGGCAGACTTTTGTCAGCTTCACATTTTCGTTGAAATAACTACAGATTTGATTTTCCAGGACAATAAATCATTTTAGTGTTTGGATAAAAAATAAGGCATTACTTGCTTAAACTGCCCTGCATTTTTAATGGCATTATGGGGGCTAAAAAAAATTAATCCTTTTTCTCCCACCTTCTATGCTCTTGTAACTGGGCTAATAATCAAAGTAACAGAGACAGAGTAACAGGAGAAAATCAAAGTTTTAATACATATGCATGGGGATTTCACACAAGTATGAAAATTCTAAAGATAGTGAGGCAACATTAGGAATATATGACATTTTGGACAAAGGAGAAAAGGGGGGAAATGGAGTCTTAGACTTCAGAAGTGAGAATGGGCAATTTACTGGAAGTCGAGGAAGAGAGGAACACACGTGGCAGGCAAATTTTTGCTTGGCACCTCAGAAATGATGGGACACAGAGGGCTCTAACAGGCTGCTGCCTGAAGGCCTTTTATTTACCATACTTAAATTAGGCTAAGGAAAACATTCTAAGATTTCCTTCCTGAAGAAGGGTTTTCTATTGGGAATCTCTTGAGCAGGAAAGGAGAGAAGGTCAAAGGTTCTTTCTGAGTCTTGTTTCTTAATAAACAGCTTAAAATCAATATCCGAAAAAGGCAGCTTCAGGATGGCAAAACTTTAATTCCCTTCAGAATATATTACACAAAACTGTTTCTGAGATGGGATTTTTATGATGATTTGAAAAATTAGATGCATAGTATTTTCTTTTTAAAGTAACATGGAAATGCTTCTTAATTTTAATTATCCCAAAAACTTTTTGAGATCTCTTTAAATCTTGACTACTATAATTTCAAAACCTATAAACTTCACATTTACACCTATATTCCCTATGATGAAAAGCTTCCATATACACTTAAAATCTTAATTATGATATCCAAACTTTAGAACTGATTAAGTACTCTCAACACATGTTACATTTTAAATGAATATTAAGAAATGTAAGATCACCTCAACGTAGATGCTCAGGTGTTGGTTGATTGATTAGGTTTGTTTCCATCAGTCTACTGAAAAATGACATTAAAGTCACCAAAGAACTACAAAATTACTCAATGCAGTGGACTTTTCCTACCCTTAGTCTGTTTCGCTTATCTATAATATTTGATAACTTCTTTTTACTAAATCTTTCTCTTTTTTTGGTATCACCGGACTTCCCTTTATATCTCAGAGAACTCAGTTTCTCTTTATGTTTTTGACCCCCAAATGATGACACTCACCAATGTTCTGTTTTTTGCTCTTTTTTCTTTTTATCCTTGCACTAATATTCCATTCAGTATCGTAAATTCAAATGTCACCTTTTAGTAGGTGTCAAGTCTCTTGAGTTTGTCTTATATCTCCAGCTCTTGATTAGCTTTGTAAGTGGAAAGTCTCTGCTGCATGTTGAAATCAGACCCATTATTTGTGGTCAACTCTATTTCTTTAATCCAGCTTGGTCTCCATTATTTGTTTAAATGTTATCACCAATTTTCTTATCATGAAGCTAGAATTTTGTTTACCTTTTCCCCACCCCCCTGACTGACAAATTAAGCTGGTTACTAAGTTATATCAGTTCTTTCTCCACCCTTTCCCCCTTGCATCAAAACCCAGAATCACCCAGGGTCACTCTTATTACATCCTGCCTAGAATATTACAGTTGTTTCTTAACTTTTCTCTCTGCCTATAGTCTCTTCCTTTCAGATTTATCCTTTTGTCAATGGCAAATTAATCTTCCTAAAACACTGCCCTGATTATCGTCACTCTAGGCTTTAATATGTTCAGAGGTTGGCTGTTGCATTCAGGATTAAATAAAAATCTCCTTACCAGGATTTTTAGGCCTTCTATCCTGGGCTCTCTTATCTCCCCTTTGCAGCTGAGTCTCTGACTGCTCCCCTAACTGCAGCCTATGTTGCAGCTAAGTCACCTTTCTCTCTTCACATTTAGAATTTACTGTCTCCACACTTCCTTCTGCCAGTATTTCCCAGACATTAGTTACAGAGATGCTAATAGGTTTTTCATGAGGAAAGCATTCCATAGTCCAATAAATTTGGTACACTGGAAATTCTCCTCTTGGAGATTCACAATACTTATTAGCATATTAAAGGGTCTGCGATGTCCTACATTGAGGAATCCTGTCTAACTCTTTTTCATACAGCTTTCCCAGACTTATTTAACCACAGAACCCATTATGTCAGACCACCTATTAAATCTCCTGGAAAATTGTGTTTTCCTGGAACTTAGTTGAGAAATGCTGACTTATATTATTCTGTCTGAAATGCCTTCCCATGCTCGACTGTGCCTGCAAAACATATTCTTTAATGATAAGCTCAGTAAAGTATTTGGAAAACTTGACCAAAACTTCCATTAAGGTATTTCTGTGAACTTCTATATCACTTTCATAGGCCACTCATGTCATATTTGTGTGCCTGCTTTGTTTCTCCCATCAGAGTATAAACACCTTGAGGACAGTGTCTTTACTTCGTATCTTTATTCTTATTCAAGGCCCTACTGCACCTAGCATATGGCCTTACCATTTAGTGAGTAGTTGCTTATTTATTATTAAATTAACTAATCTGTAAAAGTGCAGAGTCACATAGTACTATCTAGTGCACCCAAAATTGTGTCCAATATTAAATTCATTTGCCATAGTCTATTGTAGCCTAATTTAATCATTTCATTCCTAATTGTTTAAGGGAGGGAAGAAAAAGGCTGACATAATTTGATTTTTAAAGCCTGCTGGCACAATATAAATGTTTTAGATCATTAAATTTGTAAAATACATATTTGAGTAAAATTTTCTATTAAAGCAGTAACATTTTTGTGGTTGCACATCTTTTATATCATAAATATGATCTAATAGAGTCAAAATTTGATATTTATAAACATATTTCATTTTGCTGTCTTAATATAAAAATGGATGCACATTTTACCTTTCAAACTATTCAACAAATCCGCTTGTACACAAAGCTTGTAAATTAATATCCCAAACTTTCAGAAAAAATATTTAAAATTTTCCCAGAATTTCTTTGACCTCAATCAACATTGTAAAAATCAGATTGTTTTCTATAATTTTCCTGCATTAAAAATAAAATTAAAAGAATTTTACATATTTTAATTCTACCTTTAAATCTTCCTAATCTCAGGAGAAGATTGCATTCCACAAGAGGATTATTATTTGTTAAGTGTATGAACACTTTAATTGTATATATGTAGATACACGCAGAAACATTCATTATGTAAATATACGGACAGTATATGCTGAGTAATATGAGAAACATTTTCCTGATTCTAATGACTTATGATTGTTAATTTTCAATAATCTTGTAAATAGATCAGTCCTTTAAGTTGATCATTCCAAAATTATGCTTTAACTTACTTATTTTATAAAGATATTTCTAAGTTAGCACAATTAACTAGTCCAAGTAGGAAATTTATATTATTAGTGAAGATAAGAAGACTTGCTCTCCAAATAAAAATAACACTATACCAAGAAATTTTATTGGTTTTAAACCTTTCATTCAGTTAGTCTAATGTCATGTCCTAATTACAAAAGATATCTGTTCATTGATGTAGCTTCTTAGGAATGTTTATAATAAATAACTTCAGTTTTCATTTATTTTGTAAAGTGAACCACTGCGATCGGTAATGGTTTAAAGAAACAGGAACGGGTTAATCATCAGAAAAGTAGAAAATATGGAATACTATGTTCTCCTTCATTTGTCATC